ACACACACACACACACACACACACACACACACACACACACACACACAAGGTACCCTACATAAGGTAATAATGCCTTTCTCAGGAGACACAAACTTTCTAACAAAATGCCCATGCTGAACAAGAGACATCTCCCTGCAAGTTGTTTGGAAGTTCTAAGAGAACCCAAAACAATATATGCTGTTGTCATTGTCTTCTGCTACTTACCAGAACGTGAACCTATTGCTTAAGAGAGTACACACTTTCGACATAGGGCTGGGAGGGATCCAGCTGCTTTAGACCTTCTCCATGAGGAACAGTTCTTATGGTAACCAACGTTTTTTTTTAATTTATTTATTTTTATTAACTACAGTTTATTCACTTTGTATCCCCCCCAATAAGGCCCTCCCTCCTCCCCTCCCAGTCCCATCCTCCCTCCCCCTTCTTCACGAATGCCCCTCCCCAAGTCCACTGATAGGGGAGGTTCTCCTCTCCTTCCTTCTGATCTTAAGTCTATCAGATCACATCAGGAATGGCTGCATTGTCATCTTCTGTGGCCTGGTAAGGCTGCTCCCCCCTCAGAGGGAGGTGATCAAAGAACAGGCCAATCAGATTATGTCAGAGGCAGTCCCTCTTCCCAAACAATGGTTTTTATACTGCGAAGTTAAAGGTTCTGTCCTGTGAACCACTTCCATTCTCATTACTGCGGATATTCTCTTGAGGACACAGTCACAGCTCCTTCAACACAGGTTGACAAATTCAACTTACAGAAAACAGACATATTGTTATGAGAGTCTTTGTATAATGCTTTTACCAGGAAGTCCTTGTTATGGGAGCCCTTTGGCAAACAAGCCTTGTTTCGATGATTTTAAAAGCGTGACTTCCGGGAGTAGGATACATAAACTATGCAACTGGGTTAACAAGGAGGTGTTTCCCTATCTTAATAGTCCTTAGTGTATAAGGTAGCCTGTATCTCTCATTTAGAGACCAAAGACATTTATCGAGGAATCCAGTACACTCACAGTTTCTTTCATAGGTGTGAAACAAATAGCATTTTGTGTTTATTTGGGAATGTAAGAAGATCCTGATAATCGGCAAGAACTTTATATGTGCAAATCTCCTTTGACAGGTTTGTTCATTGTGTAACAGAGTTAGCTTTCAGAAAGCAAAGACAAAAGGCAAACATTTTGGTGAGTAACCATAAGGTGATAATCCTAATTCTGAGAAGTAAAGTTATGGGGATTGGCAGATGGTGCCACACATGGCATGTAGCTCCTATATTAGACCTTTCTGTGCCAGCTT